TAAAAGCCATGAATGGAACATGGAAAAAGACAAAAATGAATACAGAATCATTTAGAGGTGAATAAGACAAGATCCTTGAACTTTATGACCATGATTGTTACGGGGGGAAACTGACCAAACACCATTTATAAATATTCTGTACACAATAAACTAGTCAGTATTTTGGAGCAATTTCAACCTGAAATAAAAATATAAAATTAAAGATTTTTTTATTTATTTATATTTTACCTCCTTAAGAGTCTTTATTTAGGGAAAAAAAAAACGTCACATTTCAGTTTTTTTATTTTATTTTTCATGTCTTGAGTGAATTAGTGGCACAGTTAGTAGAGCTTCTCAGCGAGAAGGTTGCTGGATCAAATCCTGGCTGGGTTTTCTGGGTGGAGTTTGCATGTTCTCTCCGTGCATGCGTGGGTTTTCTCCAGGTGTTCTGGTTTCCTCACACCGACCAAAAACATGCATGTTAGGCTGATGGGTAACTCTAAATTGTCCCTAGGTGTGAGAGTGAGAATGTTTGTCTCGTTTGTTTCTCTGTGTCCTTATGATGGACTGGAGACCTGTCCAGGGTGTCCCCCGCCTCTCGCACAGTGACATGGGCACCAGTGATCCCGTGAACAGAAACGGAAGAAGCGGGTTAAGATAATAGATGGATGGATTTTTGATATTAAAAACTCAATTTTAAACCCCTACTTGCGCATAACACAAGTGTTTTGTTGTTGTTGTTGTTATTGTTGTTGTTGACCCCTATTTAACCAGGCAAATCCCATCGAGATCACAGATCTCTTTTGCAAGGCGGGCCTGAAGGCAGCCTAACATGCATGTATTGTTTTACTTATACTTTTACTCATTTTTATATAGAGACAGAAGTAAAATAATAATATATTACTGAAAAGATATGACATGAAAAATGTGGGTTTAAAAGATGCATTTATAATGGGATTTCCCAATGGTTGATTTGTCCTCCAAGGAACACTAGAGGGCAGTAACATTACTGTGAGGTTACAGGAGCATTTAAAGCAATTTTAACAAAGTAAAAAATACATTTTGAAGGATTTTCAGGCTTTGTCAGATAAAATTGTGTTCATTGACATCATTAAAAAATAATAAATAAAAACAAGAACAAATATAATAGTGTGGCTGTTGTTTGTTTACCCATGTGGTCTTCCAGGGTTTAAACCAAAGTATTGAACATGTATTAACGAATGGTTAAAGTCAAATATTAAAAAGTTTCTTCCACAGAGAATAAATATTTTTTTAATGTTTAATTTGGGTTTTATGAATAGTGAGTCTTTTTCCTGATAACCCGAAGGAGCAAAGAAACTTCCGAATCTATGTGTAATGATAAGTCACATTTATTTTGTTCCCTAAGAGATTTAGAGCTATTCAAATGAAATATAAACCTTTTTTTTTTGTTGCAGAGACCTGAAAGCTGCAACATTTTTATTGAACTTTTAAAGACGTCATCTGAATGAATTAAATTAGTATGAAAAGTAAAAGGTTTTTACTGCAATCTAGCATCAGAACCAACATAAGTATTAAAATCTTTATGCTCATTTGTTAAACCTAGGCGTTTGATGAAACACTAACACACAGAGAAATCACCTTTCTCACAGTTGGTGGGCAGTTTTATTGTCCACTTTTCAATTTGCATAAATAAAATTAACCTTTGTTTGAGTTGTTATGAAAAAAGGTCAACAAGCCCTTATCAAAAGCCATTACATAAACCCAAACATGGACAGAATGCAGCTGTTTAACCTTTTGATGCAGCGTCAGATCTCTGCAACTTTTAACAGGAACATTGAGAAAGTAGCTAAAGGTTTTCCACAAGAACAAATCTGTTTTAGATTTTTTTTACAGTTTCTGGATAATGTGAAATCTCCCTCAGCACATTAAAGGTGCTCTCTGCAGCTTAGGATGTTAATCACTTCTGGATGACCTCACCCCACCTTCAGTGTATCGTGGTCCTTCCTAACAGTGTAATAATCACTCCCTGAGCATGCTGCGCCATATCTGTCCAAAGCAACAGTTTTGGAAAAGTGAGAATAATTAAGAGAAGCCGACAGCTGGTCAGGGCTTTGAGAGTCAGCAATCCTAGTGAGTCAGAAAATTTAGCTCTGCAGCAAAAGTTTTGCTTAACCCAGAGGAGGTGCTTTGGAAAATAAGACTCGTATGACCCAAGTTTGTATGTATTCAATAAATTAAAACATGCATGTGTTTGTGTGTCTGGTACCACAATATCTTGTGAACCACTGGACTAATTTTAGAGTTGCTAAACACATTCATTAGATGCTCTTCTACATCTGATTATGTTTTGTAGTCAACCTAATTCAAGACTGCAAAGCCAGGTGATCTTACAAAACACAGAAATTGCTCAAGTCAGTTTTACAAGTGAGATAACATTTGATGTAGTAAGTGCTGAGTCTTTTTTACAAAACGTACTCTGACTGAGCATAATGTATTTTTAGAGTTCGACCAAAAGGCTACAACTCTGTTCTTTCTCATCACAAAACGATCTTTGTCTAAAACTCTGGCATGAAAGGCATCGGGTGATATGCATGTCCTCGAGGAATCCTGTGACTTTAATTAAAATAATTATTCCAGTCTTCACCAAAACAGCACAAAACAAGAGTACTGGTGATGGTATATAAACTCCCGTTAGTTAATCATCAGAGTAATCAAAATCCAAGGGTGAATTCCCTCACTCAACAATCCTAAATGTGTCCATTGAATAAATATGTGATTGTGGTGGGGTGAAAGGTCAGTTTCACTGATGATGATGTCCGTAGTTTAAACTGAGAATCAGCTAAAATAAGGAACCTGAAACTGCTGCTATCAGCTGCAGTGTAAAGAACTCACCTGTTGATGACTACTGGCCATTCCAAACCTTTTTATGATCAGAGTAGTAGATTCATCAGGACCACCCAAGATTTCTTTGGTAGAATGTGTTCAACGCAATGGTACTTCTTCCAGCTGTCTTACTGTTAGCAATGGTATACCACAAGGTTCAGTCTGAGGACACATCCTCTTCACAATCTACGTAAGTTATGTAGGTCAAATCATTCCTGATGCATCCTTACATTTCTATGCTAACTACACAGTAGTTTATTGTTGAGCTTGAACAGTTGCTAAGGTTTTCCAGCTTTTACAATCTGCATTTGACATCATCCAGTCAGATTTGTTCCATCTCAAGCTGGTGCTAAATGATGATAAAGCCAAAGGGATGTTGTTTTCAAACAAGAAGTTGGTACCAACAGTTCTTCCTTGTATTTTATCGTTGAATGGTGTCCCTATTGAGTTAGTCAATTCTTATAAATACTTGGGTATTTTGGTCGATTCACATCTCTATTGTAAGCCTCATGTTGAGACCTTGGTAAAGAAATTGAAAGTTAAACTGGGTTTCTTTTTTAGAAATTAATCTTGTTTATCTCTGAATGCTAGGAAACACCTTGTAACTGCTACATTACTCCCCTCCATTGACTATGGTGACATTATTTACATGAATGTTCTTGCAAGCACCCTGCAGATGTTGGACGCAGCTTAGAGATTCACCGATCCGATACAATATCGGGATCGGTACAGATATCGGAAAAGTTCTGGATCGGGTATCGGGGACAATGTGACCGATCTATGACTGGGCAGATCTAGTCACTCTAATTCTATGCTCTGAGTGACGTCACGCGCTAGCGTACTGACTGAACAAATTAAAGTTGTGTTGTTTTTACATGTTTGACCAAGCTTGTGACGCTCTTGGTGTATTTAAGTGTGCTGTTATGGTACAGAGTTTTCAATAAATTTGTCATTCAGTACATTCATGTCTGCGTTTAACAAAACAAATTAATATAGTAATAATAATATATTATAGTTAATTCAGCACTGGGTTTGTAAGCTCAAACATACAGGTAGACAACAAAAATGACCAAATCATGTCATCTGGACCTGTTTCAGAAACGGGTCAGATGACATGATTTAGCTATTTTTGTTAATTCAGCACTGTTTTTCTGCATCAGTTCGATACCGAGCCGAAGATATCGGTATCGGATCGGTAGAGAAAAATTTGGATCTGTGCATCCCTCTATCTATCACGGTGCGCTAAGATTCATAACTGGCTGTAACTACAGTACCCATCACTGCACCCTGTATTCACTGGTTAACTGGACATCATTAACTTCATGCAGACTCTCCCACTGGTACATTTTCATCTTTAACTAACTAGTATAAATAAAGGTTGGGGGGGGGGGGGGGGGGGTCTTAATAAAAATAAGATCCAAAGTGAAGCTGTAGTCTGAGGATTTTTTCCATCCCAAATATTTGTGGACAGCTTACTGTGTGCTGTCTTAAGGATGGACAGATGCTTGGATGTCAAACTGGAGCATAGATAAGGTCACCTGTGACCTTGACCTTTGACCCTAAAATCAGTAGGGATCATCCCATGAGGTATCTACCTGTGCAGTTAGACATTTCTCAGTTTAGAGCTCTGACTAGAAATGGTCCACCAGTGGACCATACCATAAATTGTCCTATCTTTGGAGGGGTGTGTAAAAAAGCAGTGGTTGAACAACATCTCAACATCATGTAATGTTTGTTTTTTCATTCTCTGTACAAAACAGTCAGTTGGAATTGTAGCTGATGGTTCAGTGAATCAGGTAGAGTTGTTTCTGATAAACTGTCTTGTGTTCAGGAATTAAATACGCCTGGATTCAGTTTTGATGTTTTCTACTAACTGTGACCACTAATCCTAGTTTCTTCCTGAAACATACAGTAAGCCAGCAGGTTTTGTGGTGTTGATTGGACTTACTGTATTTAAAATAATTAAGTACCAGACAGTAGTTCAGCCTTGGTATCTGTGCTCCCTCTGTCTAGACAGCCCATTCTTCACAATTTGAAAGGAAATAATCTCGTCAAAGCCACGAGCCATTCAGGCCTGCAGTTACATCACCTCTGTGCATACGGTGGTCCTCTAACACCGAGGTCGCTGCGCCTCTCTGTCCTCTCTCTGCCCTCAGATAACTTCTACGGCACGCCAAAACCTCCAGCGGAGCCGTCCCCGGCAGCCCCTCCTCTGAATGTGAGTGAGGCCCTGCTTCCCGGAGCCCGGCCCAGTGCCCAGGGCAAGAGAAAGAGGAACCAGTCGGTCAGCAACATGGAGCAGCGCGCCAGCATGGAGCCACCAGAGGAGGAGGAGGAGGAGAGCCCAGTCGTCAATGGCAACGGGGTGGCTATCACGCCAGGTACTGTTAAGCTAAAGAGGGCAGAGTTAATTTACGGCTTTCGGTGCCTCGTTTTTCATCATCTCGCTGCTTAGAGTGGGCTCTGTTCGACAAGAGAGACTTTATATCATCATCTTGTGTAGGTGAGAAAAAAAAACTGGAAGTTCTGCACTGGATCTGTTGCTGGTATGATTCAATCAAACCAACGGAAACAAGCTTTTCTTTTCCTTTTCACTGCCCACTAAAGTGAAAGAAATCAGGTTTCTTCTTTTCTAAAGTCCAGTTTTCTGTGTGCAGCTCTACAGACAGACTGTACCCTAAGCAGTCTTTACAAATGTTAACAGAGCCTGCTTACATGGTGTGAACTCCAAAGGTTAGCCTTATGTAACGGATAAACAAGGGCACCTTAATGTGTCCATTTTTAGTCCCTGGCTGGAGTCTCATAAAGACTTTTGCTCTCGTCTTTCTGCTCTCTCATATCTCCATTTCTCTTGATGTCTTTCTGCCACTGGCTTTTGTCCTTGTTACTAATAATACCCCGCCACTCCTCTCGCCTTCCCCTCCTCTCCCTCGCCATCCTCACCCTTCTGACCTCCTGGTTGTTGTTGTTTTTTTCTTCGTTATTTCTTTGTGTCTTTGCCGCCTTCTCGTCGTTCTCCTCCGTTTCCGTTTGTCTTTGTAGAGTTTTTGTTGAAGCACAGCGTATTTTTATTTTCTATCAGAAGTTTGCAACTTTTACCAACAATTCCAGCAAATACTTAAAATTTTAAATGAAATGTTCTCATGATTGCAGTATTGCTTCCCTGTTTTATTATCAGGCCGGTGATACATGTTTTTTCTTGTCTGTATTGGTTGTGTTAGCTAAATATTTCATGAACCACTGGATGCATTTTCTTTAAACTTTCAGCAAGTAATTATTAGATGTGCATATATAACTGTTTACCTTTTAGAGTCAACTCATTTCAATATGGCTGCCACAGCTAGTTGACCTTTGCCAACAAAAGTGGCAATAATTCAGTCAGTCTTATAGATATTCACCTGAAATTTGATGTGGGTGTAGCTCAGAGTCATTCACAACAGATACTTTGAGTATGTTTATACGTTATACATTTATAAAATGTAACCAAAACAACTTTAGCACTGTTTTCTCCAACATAACATCATCTCTGTCATTGAAGGCAGTGCTTGATATACATCCCACTAAATAATGCCCCCCCCCAAATAAAAAAAATCATTCTAAATGACTCGTCCTCTGCCTCAGACGCCACCAGTGTTTCCTCCTTCATCTTTCTGACTCAATCTCTGACCCCTGTAGTTTCTGTCTCTCCTTGCTTCTCAGTTTCTGACATCTCCATGTTGTTTTCTGCTCATGCTGATTGTTCTTAGACTCCATCCCCCCCGTCTCCCTCCCTCCCTCCCTCCGTCTCCCGGGGGTTTGTAGCGCTGCAGTGGCTCAACTCTGACTCATCATGCATGCCATGTGTGATGTGCATTCAGGTCTGCATGTGAGAATAACTCTGCCTTTGTGTGCTTTTTTGCGGTCCACAGAGTCGAGTGAACACGAGGACAAGAGCACAGACGCCTCTGGGGAGGTTGCGGTTGAAGGGTCCATCCAGGCCCCGGTATCATCTGAGCCTGCGACGGAAGGGGAGGAGGCCCCCAAATCTCCCTCCAAGTCCCCTTCCAAAGCCCCAGACGTAGACGAGGAAGAGCTGGGTCCTCTGCCGGACAACTGGGAGATGGCCTACACAGAGAAGGGAGAAGTTTATTTTATAGAGTATGCAATAAATCTACTTTTATCTATAAATAAATCATGCTGTGTTATGAAAGTTTAAGATGGAGCCCAGTACCTTCTGAAAATGTGTAATAGGCGTGCTGTTCACACCTCCAGAATACAGTTTGGTCACAGTGCCATGATTAGTATTTCTGAGATATTAAATGTAGTTTTATAACTTTTTGGACAGACAGAAAGTTTAAAACCCCTTGAGCACGTTAAATTGTTTTAATATCATCTAACAAGCATTAACAAGTGGAAGAAATGTTAAAAACAGATGAAAGAACTGTTTAGAACAGTTTGGGTTCAATGCAATACTTCTGAGTAAAGTAGGTGTTTTACTGCAGTCGGATGTTCTCAGTCTGGAGAATCATGGAGAAGTTACAGCTTCTCAGACTGACGACTTAAAGACAGAATTTAACCAAAAAACAAGCAATACAAACCCCCAAAAATCCACAGCATCAGCTGAAAGTTTATTATAAACCTTCACTATCACTTTTCTATCTTCGTTTAAAAAAAAACAACAAATCTACAATTTGAAAACTCTAGTTGAAAACTGAAAGGAGCAAAATGCTAGCTTGAAGCCAAAAGTAGCAAAAGATGAGTTAAAGGCAAAAAATAGCTTAAGACTTGATAAAAGAAAAATGTTAGCTGAAAGCTAAAATAAGCTAAACATATTTTAAATACAGTTCCCTTTAAGGCCCTGTTTACACGAGAACAACCTCTGGAAACGTTTTTTTCAATGTTAATCGGTAGTGCAGTTGGTAGAGCTGCTGCCTCTCAGCGAGCAGGTCCCTGGTTCAAATCCCGGCCGGAGACCTTGCTGGGTGGAGTTTGCATGTTCTCTCCATGCATGCGTGGGTTTTCTCCAGGTACTCCAGTTTCCTCCTACAGACCAAAAACATGCATGTTAGGCTGATTGGTAACTCTAAATTGTCCCTAGGTGTGAGTGAGAGAGTGAATGGTTGGTTGTTTCGTTTGTCTTTGTGTCCCTGTGATGGACTGGAAACCTGTCCATGGTGTCAACGCCTCTCCAGTGATAGCAGGACATGGGCACCTGTGACACCCACGACTCGAAAAGGAAGAAGCAGGTAAAGATAATGGATGGATGGATGGATGGATGGATGGATGGATGGATGGATGGAATTGAGAGAAATAAACAAAAACGAAAGAACGGGTTTACATGAAAGTACTGTAGTTTCCATGCCAGTGGGGTTGCCAAATAAGAAATTCTGAACTATTTTATTATAGTATAATGACCCAAACTGGAATATGTGCTGAGTGAGGGTGTTGTAAGATGAAATGTGTGTTGTGTTTGGTGCACATGTGCACAGAAAAGGATTGGGCAAAAGATACATTTTAGATTTATCTGGCAACCCTGAAGTCTGGCTCACCTACATGCATGTCTGCATGTTGCATGCATGCCTGCATGTTGCATGCATGCCTGCATGTTGCATGCATGTCTGCATGTTGCATACATGTCTGCATGTTGCATGCATGCCTGCATGTTGCAT